GTCAAGGGCATGTACCTTGGTTGCAGGCACATCCCTCCCCAGTAGGTGTGCAGGAGGCAGCTGATCGATGTTTCTCTCTCATCGATGTTTCTAACTCTCTATCCTTCTTCCTTCCTCTCTGTAAAAAAATCAGTAAAATATTTTTTTTTTTAAAAAAAGAAAAATCTGTCCTCTTTCCTGTCCGTAGTCTTCCTTCTCTCTGGTCTGGCTTCAGACAAGGGTTCAAAAAAGGACGAGATCCTGAAGACCAAGCATCCAAAATGTCCCCCAGTGGAGGCTGTTGAGTGCAAGTATCTCAATCTGGTTCTGGAGCCCCAGCATTATCCTCATCAGAGGGGTTAAGTAACTGTGCTCATCAATAAGAGGTAGACATTGGGATTCAAACCCTGGTTCTATCCAATTTCAAATCCTGTAGTTCTTTCATGTGCTTGCCCTGGCCAGTATGGCTAAGTGGTTAGAATGTAGGCCTAAACACCAAAGGGTCTCAGGTTCGATTCCCAGTCAGGGAATGTACTTCAGTTGATACAAGAAGCAACCAATAAATGCATAAATAAGTGGAACAACTAATGGATCTCTCTCTCTCTCCTTCCCTCCCTCCCTCCCTCTCTTTCTTTTTCTTTCTCTTCCTCCCACCATCCCTCCTTTCCATTTTCTCTGAAAAGCAATGGGAAAAAATATCCTCAGGTGAGGATTAACAACAACAAAAAATATATTGGGCTTGTTTCTATATCTAGAAATTGTCCTCCCCAGAATGCCTTTTATTTCTGCTTTTCCATATGTCATCTTTCCAACACTTCAGCCTACGGGCTATTTCTCACCTCTGATTTCTGTAGCTCAGGCTTCATTTGGCACTGAGACCTTACTTATAGTCCTGGCTTCTCCTCTTAGCTAAACATTGTGGTATTTTTGTCTTGTTTTCTCAACTGAGTTATAACTTGGGACTGTATTTTACCCCTTTGGACTTCCTGCATTACTTCACACTATGCTGCCCAATCACTGGTTCATTCATTCTCTCAGTAAATATTTTCTGAAAACTTCAATGTACCAGGCGCTGAGTAAGCAACTGCAAAGGCAAAACTAAATGTTTGTCAAAAAATATTTTCCAAATCAGTTTTAATACATTCCTGCCCTGCAGCATGGCCAGGTGCTGGCACGCTCCCGTCACAGAAAGATATGAATGATGAACTCCATTGCTGGTCCCTGTGCTTTGCCTCTGGCATGAAAATCTGTGCAGAGAGGCCAAAGAGGAAATGGCTTTCCCTCCTGCTCACTAGTGTACTTTCAGGCATGGACCTTGGTGATTGTGACTCTAAAATGGGATCACTTTTTCAAAGCTCTAATCAAGGTCTGCATCTTTAATAGGTAGCACTGAGGGGATGTTGACATATATTTTGCCTTGGTTTCAAGCAGACCTGGGTTGAGATTCAGGTTCTACTTTAGCTAGTCTCTTCAGCTTCCCAAGCCTTAGTCTTCTTACCTGTGAAATTGGGATGATAGCTACAGGGCACATAAGAGAATCTATATATATAAAGAGCCAGGGGCCATTGCAACCAAACAGATGACTGAACTGGCTGAGTGGGGTGACAAGGCCAGCAGGGGGGTTAGTGAGGGATGACCAAACGACTGAGCAGCAGGCTGTGTGGGGCTACCAGGCCGGCGGGGGGAGAGGGGGCAGTGAGGGACAACCAAACGACTGAGCAGCAGGCTGCATGAGGTGACCAGGTCGGCAGCGGGGTTAGTGAGGGACGACCAAACAACTGAACAGCAGGCTGCATGGGGCAACCAGGCCTGCAGGAGGGGGCAGTAAGGCGTGATCAGGCCAGCAGTGGAGGGCACTTAGGGGCAACCAGGCCTGCAGGGGAGGGCAGTTGGGAGGGACCAGGCCTGCAGGGGAGGGGAGTTGGGGGCAATTAGGAGTCAGTGGTCCCAGATTGTGAGAGGGATGTCCGAGGGGTCCCAGATTGGAGAGGGTGCAGGCTGGGCTGAGGGGACCCCCTCCCCCGTGCACAAATTTTGTGCACTAGGCCTCTAGTGTACATATAAAGCTCCCACCTTTATAGGGAGATTTCACAGGACAGGAGAGATGTTATTTACTATACTGAGGGCTTCGAGTCCCCAAGTGTGACTTCGGGTTCTTCAACAACCTTTCCTGTCTTTTGTTTTTTCTATCTCCCTGGTTAATTAATGCGTTGTCTATACTTTTTAAGCTCTAGTTGGCCACCTAGCTGGCATGGCTCAGTGGTTGAGCATCAACCTATGAACCAGGAGGTCACAGTTAGATTCCCAGTCAGGGCACATGCCCGGGTTGCAGGCTTAATCCCCAGTGGGGGACATGCAGGAGGCAGCTGATCAATGATTCTTTCTCATCATTGATGTTTCTATCTCTCTCTCCCTCTCCCTTCCTCTCTGAAGTCAATAAAAACATATTTTAAAAAAAAAGATAACTCTAGGTGGCCATTGATATACATTTTGCAATTTGTAGCTTTGTAGTTTATAGTGTTTGTAGTTACTCATAATGATATCTAATGTTATAAAAATAAAAGTGTTTCTGAAAAGACTAACTCTTAAATAACTTACTGAGTATAAAAATCCTTTTTTTCCACATTCATGTTAAAGTTTTTAATTAATTAATTTGTGTTTCTGAATAGATAAGACATTTTTTTAAACAAGAAGTTTATTTAAACAACAAGACACTTGACTTGAAGGAAAAACTACCTAGGATTTATTTTTTTTAAAGTAATTTACTCTACTTAAAGACAGATTGCCCTACATGTAACAGCTGCGCACAAAAAAGTTATAAAATTGTCCTTGGTTTTACAATGATAAATGAAAAACATTAAAATTCTCCAATCAAACAAGGTATGCAAGAATTTTTATGTTGTTCTTTTTTTGTTGTTGTTGTTAAAAGTGAGAGCAAAGTAACTTACTGGAATATAAAGATAAGAGCTGGATGAGCATGCCACTAATGGAGAAAGGGAATGTTTTCACAGAACCAGTATTTTTCCCCCAGCCCATCTCTATTTGATGTCCATCAAAACATACCATTGGCCAATTAGTTAAAAAAATGCAAATGCTTGTGCACATACATACTTTATGTACAATAAAGGAATGGGGAAGGGGAAAATGAAAGAATAGAGAACACTATACGGTGGTAGTCAGATGTGTTGAAACCCAATTGCAGTTTTCTAACTGAGAATGTCTACTTGGTCTGGAGGAACAGAGTTCTGGAGTAAAGTAGCAGGTTCCCTTTTTCGTAGACACCTCCTGTCTGCTGCTGGAACACATCAATTGTATCTTCCTCCTCCATTTCCAACTGTGCAGGTGTGTCTGTTTCATTGACTGGCTGCCCATCAAATCGGAATCTGATCTGCCTCATTGACAAACCCTTGGGCTTTTCGTCGGCCATGGCGAGCACCGGAGTCTCCTCAGCTGCTGCTTCACAAAAGAGGTACCAGGTCCACACCAAATGGGCACACAAGCAGCACCAGGAGCGGTAGAAGAAGCAATAGGTAATACATTTGCACGGTTCAAAGTTCAAAAGGTGCCAGAGTATATACAAGAATAGTCTCCCAGTTTTTTGTTTGTCATCTAGAAATAATCTATATTATTACAATCAAATACACATTTATGCTTCTCTTTTTACACAAATGGTAGTGTATTATATGTTCTTGTTGGTATCTTGTTTTTTTTTTAATTTATATAAATCTTGAAGATTGTTCCAAGTTAGTAGGAATTCCTCTTTTTAAAAATGTTTGTGCTGCATAGTGTCTCATTCTATGAATGTACTTTGATTTATTTGACCATTCCCAAATTAATAACATTTAAATTGTGTCAATCTCTTGCTCTCACAAATAGTGCTTCAGTAAATAGTCCCATAATATATGTTATTTGGCACATATGTGAATATACCTGTTAAATAAATTATTAGAATCAGATTTGCTAGGTTAAGGGCATATAAATTTGTAATTTTGCTAGATATTACCCACTCCCAAAGATGTTTATATCTTGGCTGGGGTTCCCCCAGAAAAGCATATCTCTGTGACAATGATTCTAGCGCAAGTAGTATAATTGGTAGGTGCATGGAACACCAGGAAGCTGAGGAGTCGGGGGCGTGATACAAAGAAGGGAAGGCAACCATTGAAAGGATGTGTTATGAAGCCATCTACTACATGGGTGACCGGAGCTTAATTCCACCAGAAAATTATGAGCTAAGGTGCAGAATACTCACTTCTGGACTTTTCTTTAAAAAATATTTTTATTGATTTCAGAGAGGAAGGGAGAGGGAGAGATAGGGACTTCCATGATGAGAGAGAATCATTGATTGGCTGCCTCACGCATGCCCCACACTGGGGATCAAGCCCACAACCCAGGCATGTGCCCTGACTGGGAATCAAACCTTGATCTCCTGGTTCATAGGTCAACGCTCAACCACTGAGCCACGCTGGCCAGGCACTTCTGGACTTTTCTAAACAAAGGTGAGGAAGCTGCATTTCCCAAGAGTCAATAGCTGAAGCCGGCTCTGGAAGCATGGAGTGTGAAATGGGAGTAGGGGCAGTAGATGTTAACTCTCTGGTCTGGCCTAGCCTGCTGGTGGCCAGAATAAACTTCCACAGTTCAGAAAAATCTCTCAGGCATAGAGATGAATTTCTTGGGGTACTGGGTCCCTGAGTACACTGAAAGGTCTTAGGATATGGGCTGCACCCCACTGTCAATGAACAAAGGTATCTGTTTCCCTAGATTTTTGTTTCATAGTGTTCTCACATATTTGATCTCGCCAATTGTCAAGGTGAAAAATAGTAACTATCATTTTAATTTTTATGTGTATAATAATTCACACTGACTTTTAAAATAATTTAAAGCTCCCATCTATTTAATTCTTCTCTAACCCTACCATGTTCCAGTAAGTCATCACACCCTCATCCCACCCTGAGAGTAGGTGTTGCAATTATTCTCATTTTAAACACTAAAGGGAGGAGCAAAGAGGTTTAGTGACCGGCCCTAAACCACTCAGTTTGTCAGTGATGGGAATGGGATTTGACCTCAGATTCTCTTTAAAACTCATGCTCTTTCTATTGTGGCAACATGCCCTTTGGAAACATTTTTATCTTGTAAATGGTATAAAACAGACTAGCCACTCAACTTCTCAGTTTCTTGATCTACAAAAGAAAGAATAGTGAACATCTATTGTTTGTGTCTTCCCAGCATCCATTCTTCACTCTTTTGCTATCACCTGGGAATTTGTTAGAATTTTCAATTCTTGAGTTTTACCCCAAGCCCACTGAATCAGAAACTCCTGGGTTGAGGCCTAGCAGTCTGTGTTTTAACAAACCCTCTCTGTGATTCTGATTCATGCTGAAGTTTGAGAAATACTGGGTTAGGGGAAAGAATGTTAAGTGGAGCTATTTTGCCAACAAAAACCAGGGGAAACCCAGGTTAAGACTAAAGTCATATAGAACAAACACATCTGAGAGATACAGAGAGTGAAAGAGTTCTGAAGATACCATCTGAGTCTAGTCCTGCTTGAAGTTAGACCAACAGTGGTATCATTTAGTTACATGAACCAATACATTCTTTTCATTTCAGTTTGAGTTGAATTTCTGCCACTGGCAACCAAGCTATTCCTTACTGTCAAGGAGAACATTTATTCCTCCTTATGTTTTCAAGTGAAGAGATCCTTTTTGACCATTAGTTCTCAAAGTGTGGTCCCAGGATAACATCAGCAGCAACATCAGCGTCACTAGAGAATTTGTTAAAAATCACAATTTCTCAGACCGCAGTCCACACCTACTGAATCAGGGTTTTGGGGTGGAAACCAACAATCTGTGTTGTAATAAGCCCTCCAGGTGATTCATGTCCTTTCATTTCACTAAAATGTGAAAATCACTAGCGTAAGACTCCTAGCCTCTCTCCCAACCCCTTATTCATCCTTCTCTATGAAGAATGTATGAGTTATCTAATTAATGAGTTTGAAAGGATGATCTGGGCATGCTCAGTTTAGCTCCTCCCTCTATGTTTTTTGGGGCGGGGGGGGGGGGGGG